TGTTTCCCCTCCTCTTGATTCCCTCCCCAATGACCCACCCCCCTCATCTGGCCACCTCACCCAGTTCACAGGCCCCAAGAGGTCAGGTGGTGAAGTTTCGTGTCCACCTCCTGCTGCCTCCGCTCCGCCAATGGCGCCTGAAAGAAACAGCTGAGCAATTGTCGACCCTCTTTTTTGCGGCCGGGCCGAGGCGGACGACGCCAAGCGTTATCTCTGGGCTAACGACCCAATGTTTGACGTGCTGGTGCATGCCGTGAACCTCAGGGTTCTGCACAGAAATTTGCTCTGAAGCATGTCCTCGCCATTACAAGGCAAAACATACCATCACTGCATGTGCGACGTGTGGAGTGTTCTACTTAGAGGGAATGCCTTCCTCGGGTCTGAGGTCGCCGCTGCATTCTGGTCTAGCCCTACGTAGCTAGCACCAGCAGCCACATGGTGTGGGGCGAGGTGGAGCATCGCTGCCTGAGGGGCTTAAAGATTTTATTTTTTGAGTGCCTTTTTCCGTCTTGCAGCAAGTCGGCTTAAAGATTCATCTTACAGGCTATTGTCCTGTTACGCAAGACTCTCCGAGGAAAGGTGCACAGCAAGTACTCGTATCTGACCAGAAGAACGGTCGCCAGTGTCGAACTCCATCAGGGTCCAGGCATGGAATCACCAGTTGTGCTGTGAAGTTTGAGGCGCTGGCTGTACCGATGCTCAAGAAACTCATCATGCAGCACGCAACCTGCGTGGACACTGCAGGTATTAATTACACCTAGCAATGCAGTAAAGAAACAAAAAATCGAAAGAAGATCTTCGGCACAGGAACTATCGTGCTCACCAGGTCCAGCAAGCATCTCTGGGACTGGGCTTTAACGGTTCGCTTGGTTTGGTTGAACTGATTGCCGGCTTGTACACTGCAAGGCTCGTGTCAGTTGAGGGGCCCTCATTGAACCCGCACGTCGAGTTTGTCTGGGTGGCTCAACGAGTTTTTTCTCGGTTGCGGTAGACAATCTGTGCTACTGTAAGTGTTTGCCTCCACACTCGCAGAGTCACCGTGGGGCCTGAATTGTGGCAAATCCAACTCACTCGAAAACAACACACTTTTTGGACTGCATGTTTTGGCTAGCGGCTAGCAATTGACACGATGCGGCTACCGGCTATGCGTCAGTGCATCTGAATACACAGTTGAAGTTAGTTTGACCCAGCTCTCTCCAAACAGGACATGTACTGCTGAAGATCCACAGCCCCGTTGAATCCTTTGCACTACACGTTGGACCTTCATGGACCTTCGCAACTCGAATCCTATGGCGTGCAACCCCATGCTACATGCAACCAAGTGGCGACACAAAGCCTCGGGTTATGGCACGCGCATGGTGATGCTATCTACATAACAGTATGATAGCTTCTTGGCTCCAAACTTTTGGCCATCCAGGCAGCAGCTGTCCGCCGAACTGGCGACCTCCGTGCATAGAAAGCACCAGGAATGCCCAGCTGCACTACACGGGTGAGGTTCCGATCACAGCAGCCGCAAAAGCCCCCGATTCACATTAAGCTCCAACGCCTTGCCGCAATTTTCCGACACTTCGGTGCAGCAGTGAGCTGCAAAAGGCTGAGCTCCATGCCGGACGATAACCTTAGCTGCCGAATAGTCTGCTGTGACGCTGCAGTGCTCTGCAAGTGGTCTCTTGCTGCACCATCGGGTCGGGTGCATCTAGATGTGAGAAGATTGTGAGAAGGCGATGTAGAACCAGTGGAGCAGGAGGAACGAAGTTGAGAGCAGGCACGTTTGTCCGTCTGTTTGCTGCAGTCTGATGTGCGCTGTGCGCTGTGTGCTTTCAACTCCCATCTTCTCTCGCTCTGCAGGTTCTCTACCTGCTTCCACATGAACTCCAGAGAAACTGACTACTATCCAGCAGGCCCACCAATGGGACAGCGAAGGTCCGTGCAACTCACAATCAAGTCATGCAAGCTATCTTCGAACGATAGTATCACAAACAGAATCGCGTCATAAAGTACCCGTCACGACATCAATGCAGCAAGGGATGCACTTTCAACAATGTCAATTTTCGTGGCTATGCTGCTTCCTATTCCCCGCCTTAACGAAATGTCCATGCCCGCGTGTCCAACAATGTACCGTGTCATACCCTCTGAAGCGAAGCCTCAGGAATCTAGCCAGACTCCGGGGCTTGCACCGTGCATTGCGACAGCAGCAATGCGGAGCAGTTTAGCCCAGTCCACAGCTGGATCTGCTAGACAAGTGGGCAGTCGTGTACGTTGGGCTGGTGGCTAGGCTACGGTCTTTACACTAAGATCCCCACCACTGCTGCGATTGTTTCCTGATTGTTTGATAGACAGGTCAGCATTTCATATCAGGCCTTGATTGTCTGCGATGCCACTTCCTGTACTCTTCTGCTCACTAGCTGTGGCGGCATAGGACCTTGACATGAAGCCTATGCTGCGGAAGAACACAGGGATGCTGCCAAGCATGCTGTGTGATTCGGGCAGTCGTGACAGGGCGGCCTGATGCCTATCTGCGTTGAAGCACAGTTTCGGGCTTGCAGGCATCCTTCCTTGAAAGTGATGCAGCGTCCAATGTTCAGGAACTGCTGAAGTGCCGGGAAGCTTGATATCTAGAAGCCAACTGTTGAGGCCTGCCGCACAAGCTGATCTTGAGGGGGTCGCACGTACCAAATGCAGCTGACGTGAAGTGCCAAGCTTGATTACAATGAGCCACTCACCGTCTTTCAAACGCTTGAAAGCAGCTGATCAACTCGAGTGTCGGTTGTTTCAGTTTGATCAGAATGGAGGCTTTGAGCTTGCTCTCCAGCCCCCAGCGCCATGAAACCACAACCCGGCGCATCCAGCGCCACAACCGTCAACGACAGCTGAGCTGGTGCTGACTTCTGCGACTTGTGAAGGCCAAAGGCTGATGCAAGCACGAGCGCCCGGGAGGGAATTCAGATTCCTGGCCATCTCGTGGGAGCGACTCCTAATTGTTTTGGGATCTACATCACAAGGCCGTCGCACTCGGCTCATGCGCAGAAAGTGGAGAAGGGTTGGCGTTGACGGGGGGATTTTGAGGAGGCACGTGTCTAGTTTTTGCCTCCTGAACCTCCTTCATACCTGTCTGGTCTCCACCTTATTGTGTTCTGGATGATGCTCAGGCGAGAGTCGAGAGCCGACATCGGCAGCCCAGTGTACAGTCTATGCACAGATCCAGGATGACCTGGAAAGAGATGCGGTCAGTCTGATCCATTCAACACTCCCCTCCTCAAGGTGGCAAGCTTGAGCGCCGACAGTCTGTGCGTCAAAACAATATCGCCGACAAGATGGATCAGCTCAAAGCTGAGGCAATTGTGCACACAGCGAGAATCTACAGTGTGAGCGAATGTCCAGTCAACGAGCCGAAGGGAAAGGGTTGGAGCCTTGTTGCTGCTGGTGCTATGCTTACGGTGTTCGAACACAAAAACACGGAGACAGACAAACAGAGAGACACACTGACTGGACATGCCCCTCATGATTGCACGAAAGAGCCAGTCAGGCCATGGCAATTCCTGCCCGAAGCCTCTTGGCCTCTGATACTCGTAAGCCGTGGCAGCCAGTCTCATGCAAACATCGACGGAACTTTTGAAAGGAGAAACAAATTTCTTAGTCAACCGAGTTCCCCTCAGCAGCCAAGCTCTTGCCGGTCCACTGCTGGAGATGAGAATTCTCGAATCCAAAGAACTTAGAAGCCCACTGAATTAAACGACAAATCGTTGGATTCAGTTTTACTAATGGAAATCACCAGCTTGGACATATAAACTGGTCCCGCCAGTGCAGTTAGCCAGCATGCTGCCTAATTGCTCCACCGCATGCTCTGTTGCTGTAAGGGCTTACCCTGATGTCATTCTGCATGCCGGTGCTACCTGCCGAAGAGCTTTGTTGCACTGGGCAGCGGCCTCCATGCATTCTGCGCTTGACTAACCGAGTATTTTAAATTTTAGTTGCATGCGTAATCCTACATGATGCCGGTCTAGAAAGGACTAAGTGCAGAAAGCATTTCAAACTCGCTGCCACTGATCTGCAAGATCTAGGCAGAGACTTCCAACGCAAGTCGCTAGGCTCCATTGTCGACTGGCGAGACAAGCCTCGGACAACAGTGCCAGTGACCTACCTACAGGCATTTCTTGTTCCGCGGTTCTCCTTTCTTACAATTAGAAGAATCAAATGTAAGGCTAGCTGCAATTTGGAATGCTTAGGTGGCGGGGAAAGAGTAACATCCGACCGCAAATTTTCACGTGGAGGCTTGTCTCTGCTCAAAGACTGTAGGTGCAGCTTTCGGCTCTCGCTTCCTCGTCTGAGTCGTCGTGCAAACTACCCAGTACAATGATGTAGTGTGTCGCGTTCCAGTTACAAACGGCAGGAATGCTGAGACACAGAAAGTACCCATCTAGCTCTCCAAACATGCCAGGCACAAACATTACACTCCTGTTCAGGCACGATGGAAAGTATAAAGGCTGGCAACAACAGCTGAAGGTGCAGGAGTACTGCAGAGCCAAGCCTCGCGGAATGGTGGGACTTGTGCCCTATGTACAAAGCTTCATCGCGCGGCTGGTAGCCAACGTATAATCAGAAACGCGCTCTTGCCGAACGGGTTACACAAGTGCGATGTCCCCTCAGCCAACCATGTAGCAAGTCAAGACCTACTGTATGACGGCAGTAGCTGCTCCGTCGTTCGTTCGGCTCAAGCTCCCGCCGGTCTATGCTAGCTCTGTGTGTGTGTGTGTGTGCCGCCAGGAGGCACTCTGTGCCAGCAGGCCAGGTGAGTGTTTTGTAAAGGTCCCTGACCAGCTTCGAATGGCAAAGTTCTGATGCACCTCAAGCTGCGAGGGCAGCGATGCTGCAAGCTTCTACTGTTTCTGCTTCCCGCCTTGCTATATAAGTCTTACCTACGATGCGTGATACCTTGCCAGCAAACTCACGAAGCTTTCGTGCACCAAGGTTATGCACCTTGGGGCGCCGGCATGCGAACGTTAGCGGGCTCGCAGTCGTTCAAGAAGGCCTCCGATATCTGGCCACGAGACGCTGGTCCGCGAAAACCAGAGCTTCTCTGCTGGGCACTTACTTACACGAACCTACTCAATAGAACCTGCAAGCGTCCCCGTGCATCTTTCACCGAGACAGTCCCGCCCCACCACCCTTCCATTCACGCTTCTGCATCCCAAGCTGCCACGCAGAGATGTGCATGGAGACACCTCAGCCCGACATACCCTGCTTGGGCAATGCAAAAGATCGAATCAAGCAGGACAGGAACATGCGGAACTTGGAACCCTATCGACGAAAAGTAGAGTTCTGTCAAAAAGCCCAACATGATTTTAGCTTGACGATACTGCGAAAATGTGGTCCACGAAGGTTGGGGATTGCTCTGGGTTCAGAATTGGCTTTTATAATATATGGTAGTTATACAGTACAAGCGAAAAAGCTCGCAACTTACAAAGGCATATGTGTGCATGTCCAGAGGTTCCTCAGTAGAGATCTGATTCTCCGAGTGCCTGGCCAGCGCCTGAAGACTCTGCCACAAATTGCAGCGCCCTCAGGAGTCCGATATCTCGAGCATAAGAACAATGCCAACACAGACCATGTTGGGCATTGGCTCAGGTCTTCCTGTTGGCTCTTTCCGTTACGCCACACTGAACATATTGCCGGCCAAGCACATCTCGCGGCAAGGTCTTAGGAAATTGCTATTGCAAAGAACAGCCATGCACAGCCCCTCTGTCTTCTGAGTCTTTAAATCTCCTCACTTCTTGCAAGTCGCCCTGAAGCCCATCTGCAAAGCTGACGCTCTTCTGCCTCCTTGCCTCCACCGCATATTGTCGAACACATTCAAAATTTTCTTATGCAGCACTGCCCAAGACGATAGACCCAAAAGATCAAACACACCGGCCCTGATCGGGTCGACAACCGGTGGCTATCAATCAATTGCCACAACATCTCTAACATCTGAATTTGCCAGAGCCCGGCTGTGAGTTTGTGGTCTTGGGCGCATGCGTGGTCCTTCTGTAAAGGCTTCCACACCCTCATCCTCTGCAGCTTCCCCAGGCCTTGGCAGAAGCCAAATGTGATTGCAAGCTGCAGCCATGCTCTTGCACTGAGCTTTTTCCTTCTGCCCACACACAACCGTCTGGTCTCAGAAGCTCGTCAGCAGAAGCATATGGATGCATCCTGACGGGTACTTCCGGGCATCGTCTCAAGAAGTGTTTTGCAAGCCATGAAGCAACAGTGCGAGCGAAGCAGCAGGGCTCAAACTGGCCTGAAGCAGCTGTATGTAGCGAAGGTCTGCAGCTTCACAGCGCAGAGAGCAAGTAGCAAGTACCAATCAATGTCACTCCTGCGGAGGGAATGTGACATGTGGTTGCTCATCCATGCCCCCCCAATGTCCTGGTACCTGCTGCGCTCTTCCTTCGAGTAGTGGGTGGGGTGGGTGGGTGGGTGGGCGCGTAGGTTTGTCTGCGTGTGCCACCCGTGTGATAGCCTCCAAGTGGGTGGGTGGTTTCGGGTTCGGGTCAGCGCACGATTTCTGACACTCCTCCCTCGATGTCAGTGGATGTAAGCAGGTTTGTTCATGTTCTCCGTTCGGATTGCCCCTCCCGATGTGCTCGCTTTTGAGATGTCGCAGTCGCAAAGACATCAAGATCCAGAAACAGCAACGATTCTGAACCCTAAGCGGCCCGTTCCTGTGTCTGATACTGAGATCAAAAACTGACGGCAGTTGCAAGGATTCCAGACCCAAAATCGGCCAGTGCAGATTCCGCGGTCGCCTCCAAACCGGACCATACCATACCATGGCAGGGGGCACTGACCCGACAACGTGCGTAAAAGGTCACGACCCCGCCCAACCCCCCTTCCCCCCCCCATGGTCCGTGGTCCAGGATGCCCCCATGTGTGGGGTGTGGTTCCCTCTTCCACCTGTCGGTGGTCGTGGGGTCTCGAGGTTTAGGGTTAAATGGTACAATGGCTTCGAGTCGACAAGGGCTTCGGGAGGGGTGTAGGTTGGTCAGAGTTGAGGTCTATGTTCTGCTTTACTGCATTCAAACCTGGTTTAGGGTTGGGTGTAGGATTTTAACTGCAGGTTAAAGTTAACAAAAACAGGAGAACGCCCTAGGGTTTGCGTAGGGGCTTGCGTAAGATCCCCCCTCTCTGTGACCCCTGGCCGCCCCCCAGCAGCAGTCCAACGGCCGTATGCCCCCCTTCCCCCCCACCCCCTGTGGGGTGGGGCCTGTGGCCGCATCCCCGCCCCGCCCCTTGTTCGCAGTTGCGCGTGCTGCCGGTGATACTGCTCATGATGTTGTGCTCGACCTCGACGCGCGTCGACAATCGGATCATCTTTGACATCAGGCTGAACATCATCATTGTCGTCGTCATCTTCATCATCAGTACCGTCAAAAGAACAGCTGTCACCATCACCATCGCCATACAACCCTCATAGTTAAGCATTGTAATTCATGTCTGATGCGGGAAACTATCCGCACAGCAGCAGGCGACACCCACTGGCGGGTTGGGGGGATACCATGGGGGGTGTGGTGGTCGAGAGCATATATGGTGCAGCGTCCCGCCCCACACCATGGTATCCTCCTCTACCTCCGTGGTGTGGTGTGGTGTGTGTCGTGGGTTGTGGGTTTCAGGTAACCCCCTCGTTTTTTTTTGCTGTGGGGTGGTGGTGGGTTTGGGGTTACTTAACTCCGCCCTCTCCCCCCCTGTGGTGTGGTGTGGTGGTGGGTGTTGGTTTTTTCCCTCTCGCATGGCAGAGAACTATGCTCACAGGCGAGGCTGGTACGCAGACAACAGAGTTTGCACTAAATTAGATCACAGCTACACCTACATCAATTGACACAAGGATTCGACGACCCACTTCATCTCAACAGCAATAAGTAAGAGAGAAGCAACCCACAAACCCGCTCCAACCCAAACCAAAACATATCCATAAAATCTCAACTTAAGAGATGGCGAGGATCAAATCAACTGCCGATGTCAACAGTACAGACTATCAAAGTTCAGACCACCCTCTCAACCAAAATGGCGAGTGGAAGTATCAGTCGCTGCTCGCACGTTGCTTGTCATCAAGACTCACGTGAATTGGGTTTAGGGTTTAGGCTTTGCACCCACACCCCCCCTGTGGTGTGGGTGATGGGGTTGTTAGGGTTTAGGTGTACAGATATGACAGGGTTTAGCGTTGAGGGTCAGCAGCGCAGACCGAAACCATGGCCCATCCAGGTGAGTGTCGCCACTTTGGACACGACACGAAGTTGCATACCTTGAAAAGTCACAACACGCACGAGGATCCCCGGTTCGGGGGGCCATCCCTGTAACTGTTGGCACTTTTGCGACAAAAGTGGCGACCCTCACGAAGATTTCGGGTGTATGCCATGGGGGTGGGGGGTGGGAGGGCGTGTGCCGACACGCGACACGGAACCATATATGCGGGTATCGGGAAAGGCTCGATGCAAGCTGGCACGAAGCGCAGAAGGCACAGCAGACAGCATTAGTTTATCGGCCGAGCACGGGACTTGTTCAACGGGGGCTAGTATTGTTCAAGGAAAAGATTTGGGGCTTTGAGGTCAAAGCACTGAGGCTTTGCCAGGCGCAACTCTTTGAGATCCCAGGATCTCACGATTGCACAGAATAGATCCAGATATAGACGTGGTGTTATACGATCTCTGCTTCAACCACTCTTTCGAACCACGCGAACCATCACATGTCAAAGTCATCTCTGAGTATCTAGTCATCCATCTCGTGGTTTGCGGGCCCGTAACAGGAAGAGTTCGCCCCTCCGCTGAACCCGAGCTGCATTCCATTCCTTTTGGGGAATTGGTGGTTCATGGGAAACTTTCTGGCCGGCGGCATCAACAAGCTAATGCTACTCCTGCTGCTCTACCACTACCACTACCATGGATGACTGCAAAAGGAGCTCTGGCCTTGTCCCGCTCGACTTCTCAACAGGCGGCCTGTCCGCAAGGCAGCTTGTGCGACAATTGACTTTATCATGCGGTGTCCGGATGCAGCCAAACTTTTTCACCGAAGCATCTGCCAGGAATGTGCCTATTGGCAATCTGCCTCCCTGTCTGCAAGTTAGCCCACTTTCGCCCAGGCATCGAAGCTCATCACAGCTGCTCGTCGTGCTGAGACGCCGGAGGCAAGTGGAACGTGTCCGAGAGGAAGGGCTGGCATGAAGACAAAGCTTCTCTTATCGTCGCCCTTCTGCAATGTCTTCTTCTTGCAACAGCGGTATGCGATTGAATGTTCGGCTACTCAAAAGATAGAAAGCCAAAAGCGCTCTGAGCTGATCAACTGCTACTGCTAGTGCTTCTGCTACAGTTACTGCTACTCCCACTACTAGTACCGGTACAGGTACAAGTACGAGTAGTAGTCTGCTACTTCTACAACTACTCTGATCTGCTGATGCAGGTCTCAGCGACCGATGCCGACAGCTTTCGTTCCATTGCTGGGTTGCTGCAGCGAAACCGCAAGCACATATCTTAAGTAAACATACATCACCTTCCGGACCGAGTTGCCAGATGTGTAGCATTCTTCTGTTTGCTTTTGGTTTTGTTTTGGTTTTGCTGTCGCAAACGCATGGACATTTTTGAGTTGCAGGAAAAATAGAAGACCTAGGAGTTTGGTCAGGGTTTCTGGGGCAAAAATAATTTAAAAAACAAAGACACCTTCGAACACCAAGAAATCCAAAAGTTGTAGAACCGCGCCGAGGGTTGTGGATTTTCGATTTCTTGCCGTTCTCATCAATTTCTATCGCGGATACTCGGTCGCAGCATGTGCTAGGAACGTAGAACCACAGTAGCTGCATTAGCACTGAAACCACAGGAAGGTAAGCCTACAAACAAAGCCCGCAAACATTGCAAACGGGAGAGGTTGGAAAGCAGCGCTGAATATTCCAACGCTAGAGCGGCGAAACAAGAAATGCTTTTCAACTGGAAACGGTTTTTCCATTTGGAAAACGGGATGTGAGGGGGCAACAGTTCTAAAGCAAAGCTGATGGTTTACGGTGCCATGCCCCATCAGCTTCGGTGATCTGCGTTTTCAATTTTTCAGTGTGAACCCGCCCATATCAGCGGTTCAGCGGAAACCGGTCAACAACTGAATCAGGTTTTACTCACATCGCCCCTGATATTGAACACTATCTGGCAAGGACGCTGCAACGGCGGTTTGGGCTTGCCAACTGAAGCCAGAATACAAGCGCGAGGAAGTGGTCAGACAGCTATGCTAAAATATGGGCAATACCGGATTAAGATACCGAGGGTATCCTCAGCCTTGCTGGCGAAATTCTTTCCACCGGCCGCCTTTGGATCCTCCACCAAACTGCAACAGTGACACCCCTTTTTTTGCGTCCATTTCCCAAACCCCTTTCCCCTCTTTCTCCCCCTATTTCTCTTCCCTTCACCTCTCCCATTCTGCCATCGTTTCGTCCCTTCGCTTTTCCCTCGCAGTCGAACTTGCAGCACCAGCCTCATGATGTGCCCGAGCGCAGGTGGACATGGGGGTCTGCATTGCTAGAAGTTCGTCCACGGTGCGTGGAGGTTCACCTCACAAAGGCTGTGCCAAGCCAAGTGGCAACCTCCTTCAACAACATTTCCCACTCTAAGTTTGATTTAGTTTTTCACTGTCGTCGACCTGATCATGAATCTAATCACGACATATATCAATACCATCTGTATGCATTCCTGCATGTGGGCAATACCTACGAGACTCGATTGCGAGAATCCTTCCCAAACCCTGCCAGGACGCGAGTGAAGCTCAACCAACCTCTCCGACGGCTCAGGGAAAGCAAGGCGTGGAGGATGAGGCCCGCGACCTAAACTCAATTTTGTCTTATCTTCTTACGAACCATGCAAACACCAGTAAACCATTTCGTGGCAGCAAAGACCGCGTGGCTTTGATGGAAACTGAGCTGCGCACTGGGACGGCGACAAGGCAGAAAACCTGTTTCCAATTGCCTTTTACCAGCGGCAAGACAAGAAGCAGAAGGCAAAACCTTGGTGTCAATTCTGCAGCCCCTCATCTTGGTAGTCTCTGTGCAGCTACCATTGAT